TTTCCAAAGGTAGATTTGGCTTGCTACTATGGCACTCACAAGAAATGCAATTAGAAATGAGTGGCATCCAGGAGTTTCCATGTCAAGTTCCTTTTGGAACTGGTGCTCAGGCAGTAGGTCACAGCAAGAGAACCAGACAGCAACAGCCCTTTGCTAATATTCAAAAAATCAAAATAACTGAAAAGTGAGTTCCTGCCATCTAGTTCACCCACAGCATTTGACTTCATGGCATGTGACTGCAGTTCTGGCATAACCTAACTCTATTTCTGTTCACAGTTCACAAGATTTGTGGCTATCTCAACAATAGTCTGGCTTGGGCTATCCCAGCCGAATGCCATCCTGCCGAAACAAGATCACAGAACTTGGAAAAATAGAAAAATTGTTCCTGTATTTAGCCATTATTATGTAGGGCACAGTTTGGGGAGTTCACAAAAGCAGAAGCTTTTTTGTTTGGATGGACAAAAAATGTGGAAGAAAAATGCATTTGCTACCCAATATAGAGATCACCCGAAATAAATACATGAAAACAAATAAGGACTAAAACCAGACAAAATTCTAGCTTCGTAATTTGTCTTCTCACTCTTGCTCCTATTGCCTTACACTCCCTCTTTACTTTCAAGATTTCAAATAAAAAATTGCTTAAGTGTCACTTGTTACACTGATTTAAAACCCATTTTCTTCACAACAGAGGACAGTAAAAGCATTTCCCAGCTCCAGTTGGGGGTGATGTAGAAAAAAAATGAAGACACACAAAGGACAAAAATTATAATGAACCTTTAAACATTCTATAAAAGTTGTTTCCCATTGGTAAGTAAACAATGGTTCCAATTTAGATTTGTTTCAGACTATAGCTCAGTACAATAAACCAATATTCAAAGGAGTGGTGAGATATCCTATTTAAGGGATAAACATATCAAAAAATGTGTCTTAGAATATTTTCATTATTTAATGTATAAGATGACCAGATAACTTTACAGTTAGATCCCCAAGTACTGAAATCAAAGGATAAACTCTTATGGATGTTAAGTCCTTTTGATCAGAACTATTTTACTAGAACACAATCAATGAATTTTGTTCCAGAGCTCATTATTTCTTATTCTTTTCTCTAATATCACAAGCATTCTTTAGGCACAGGGGAGAGTTAGCTCTCAGCTTTTAATGATATGTTAATTATGGCAATCTCTGTAGACATCATCACCTCTTCTCTTAATTCATAATGGAAGCATAAAATATCAGTGCAGCTTTCTATTGCAGTAGCATAGGTCACTGTACTCTAGTGGGTTTTTGTGACAGCTTACTCTTTAAAGCCTTTTTTATAAATCAGTAATAAAAAAGTAGCTAAGCATTATATTTAAAACAGAAAGGTATTTTATTTTGTGAATGAATTACAACTAGTAAAAAGAGAAACTGAAGACTAAAAAAAAAAGTGCTCTCTCTTGTATTTTTTTCAAAGGTAATTCTAATTTCATACTGAACCAAATATACTCAACCAAGTTCTTGTTTACCACCTAATTAGAGATGCATATCAATCAAGTAAATGCTCATTTTTCCCACAGAAAGAAATTCTGTGCTCCATCAGCAAAATACTGCTCTAGTGCCTCCAAAAGGTTAAAAAGAAGCATCTCCATTCTGCCCTGGATCATTCTTCATTCACTCACCTATCTACATTAACATTTTCTACAAAGCAGGAACACACATCTTATGTGACTCTCCTGATCATTCCCACTCAATACCTAACTTAGGTTACAACCTAAATTACTGGCAGTGTTATAGAAAACTGTCTTACCAACAAGCCACAAAGCATTTGTAAATACTAGATCATAAATTGTGTTTCTTTTGCAACCATTGAGAAACAAAAATACTATTTTCAAGCATGGGAGTCAATTTTCTTTTATCATTACCTTAATTTTGTCTTAGGGAAAAAAAACCACTGATGATAGCAACACACTTGTCAACTTCCCAATCACTCCATAAACATGAACATGAAATATTAGTATTTAAAGGCATATATATAATTCCCCCATCAAGCATCATTGTCTTCAACATATTATTTAATTTTGTAATCTCAGATGTCACTCCCTCTCTTGCTTTTATTGTAATGCCTTTCTTCTGAGAAATGCAGATGTTTTTATATAAATAATAATGTATACTACATCTACAAATTAAGAACTTCCACCTTTCACAGACGGAACTGAAACAGAGATAATATGGCCCAGATTCACAAATTCTCTGAAGTCATCTTCTCCCAGAAAAGATTACAATAACTAATTTACTTTTGAAAATTACTGCATTCTAAGTGAACTCTCCTGCAATTTGAAGCCATCTTATTGCAGTAATATCTAGTACAAAGAGAAACAGATTGTTTGGGGGTTTTTCCTGAATCAGACTTTGGTTAAAGGTGTCATTACATCTCCAAACCAAGTGAATATTAATGCCATGGAGGTGTCAGTCATGACTCTTAGCTGTGGGAAAGCTCCATTTCACATTTACAAGAAATTAGTTCAAATCCTGCTGTGCTCAAAAACCACATTATATACTCTCCTGACTGAATGACCAACACAAAATGAGTTCTCTAAAATGTAAGTTCACTAAGTTATGAGTTATGTATCTACATCGAATAAGAAAAATCTGATTTCTCAGAGCATTGTTGTCAGCCTTAGCATAATGCAAAATTGCTTTTGGCTCCAGCCAGAAGCAGGCCCTTCTCATCTTGCTACAGCCTAGTTAAAGCAGAAGCTCGTGTTTTATGAAGAAGCAAGATGGCAGCAAAGCTCAAAGCAGCTGTTTCTAATTCTGATTTAACAGAGGACAAATGACATCAGTCCCAGGGCTCATATGGGAAGCCCCTTTGACAGAGGAAAACCTTCCTTTCTCATTAATTCACACATGGCAGCCCTATTAAGCGGAGCAAGAGAGAGGACAGGCTCACATCAAGTTTTCATTGATAAATCACTTCTTTCCAGTCTCCACCACTCTGTAAAGATCCTACAAGTGGTGACAGAATTCAGAATTTGTGGTCATAATGCTCCCTGCAGCACTGCTGCCTTCACTACAGCATGGAAAACAGTAATCTTAGCTGGAAAACCATGATGTGATCATACTCTGAGATTTAACTGTACAGGCAGAGGGACTGGCTTTTTGCTTCTGTTTGGGTTTGTTGGGGTTTTTTTTTGCTTTGGGGAAGATGGGGGGTATTGCTTCACAGTACTCCTCTGAATCAATAAATCCATTGCAAGATAAAGGCATTTTCATCAGCTCACTTCAGCTGCTCTGCCAACAGCAACAACAAAAAAATCTAAAATAGCTAGTATTTTTGGACTGCTTTATTATAACCAGCAGAATGGTGAATCTGCCCCCAACTGTTAATAATTAAAAAAAAAAAAAAAAACATTTAAGGCTGCATATCTTCAAAGTATTAGAAATAGTTATGTGACAGGACTGTTACAGAGTATGCTTACTTAATATAGCTCAACGAAATGAGATAAGAATTACTAAGACGTACATATAAGGTTGCCTTTCAATGAAGGTACGTGTGCGTGAGAAGAGAATGAAGAAGATCCTCATCTGCAAAATACTACACAGCTCAGAAAATTTTCTTCAAATATTCTCTAGCAGAATCTGCAGCTTTTTACCTAATCTTTGAAACACATAGTCATGCAGATAAGGCAGCATTAAATGGATCACTGCTGCCTCTGGAAAGGAAGATAAGTTAGCCTCTGGTACTTAGATATTTACTTTCTGGCAGCTGCTCTTCTTCCTCAAAAAATTTCTCTGCCAAGCAAAGATTATTTGGGATTGACAAGTCTGTGCTTTGGAATAAACAAGATCTTTACTCTGATAGGATGTTGGAAACAGATGTTTAAGATCCGCGTAACACAACAGTCTATCAGGCGTACTACGTAACTTGAGGGGCTCTTAGGGAAAAGGTCCCACAAATACCTACATGACAGTGTTTATGAATCCATGCTATTCCAAAATATACCAAGGGGAAGAAATCTTTCCCTCACACACTCCAAGTCTAATGAGGAAAAGACAATTCTCCTTTCTACCCTGTGAGAGGGTGGAGATAAAGAGCACAAAGAGGAGGCAAGATGGTGAGGTTGGTGTAGCTGATAAAGTGGTCTGGAGAAATTCACACAAAACAATGCTAAGGCCTAATGAATGTACAAGGTGATTTGATTTCTCAAAAACACACATATCCCTTTGGGATAACTAACTGCTCTGTAATGCATGTGGCATATCAGGACTGCCAGTATTCACACACAACTGTTATCAATCCACAAACTTCCTGCTGTATCAATTGACTGGAAATGAAGAAAAAAGCTACACAGGGTCCCAAATTCCTCAGTGCCACTTTGTTAACCACCAGTGCTCAGCCCATTGCTCAAAATACAGTCTGTGCTTCATCTGCAGCCCTAAAGAGTGGGTGCTCTCCTTGACCTTTACTGTCTCCTAATTCAAGCCAGGATGCTTCACCGGTGGGACAGTAGACTCAAGGAAACACTATGGAATATAAACTTTTTAAGGCTTGTCTAAGCTTTAGTATTTTATTAAACATATGCCCAGAAGCAGAAGTCATCAAAAGCAGCTGTCACCAATTGCAGTGGCTGCCACATTAGTGACAATATGTCACCAGTAAGTGCTAGAGCTGGATTATATTATTTTTGTTTCCCAGGACATGTTCTTCAGTAAAATCATCCCAAACCAAACACATACCATACATGCAATTTTACACGTGTATATGGACAAGCATTTGAAAATGGCTATCCAAAACTGCCATCAAACTTTTTCAGATGTGATGCAACATAACAGACACGTACAGGGTATAGGTGGATCTGATAAAGTAACATTTAATTGCAAAGAGGTGCTGAATCTTTGTTAAGGTTTACTGTTACAAACATGCAAACATTCACTATTTCAAATGCAGTTTTCAGATATGCCAGTTCAGATTTTCTGCTTGTAACATTTGGCACCAGCCAAGATCTGAACATTACTTTTACCTGGAGTAATGGATAGCTTGATGTCCTGCGATATTAAAATAAAAATCGGTTGTGTGTTTCATCTCATCAGTATGTCCAGAGACTTCAATCCAGTGTGCTATTGGAAGGCAGTAAACTCCATCTACTATGTTGCTCTGGTTGTAAACACAACTTCGATCATGATGGGGCCCACTACCTAGAACAGAAGAAAGGACAGTGGCAGGCTGTGTACCTGGATAACCTTAAAAAAAAATTGTGGGGAGATTTGAACTGAGCATTCAAGGTCAGGAGTGGTGCTTCCTGCTTCTTCAAACTGCATTATCAACATCTGAAATAGTGGCAGCAGAAGCACTGCCACAAAGCAAATGCTCAGCATTAAAATAAAATTTTGTAGATTATTTTTTAAAATATATTTTAATTATGTATTTTAACCCCCCCACAATATTAAAAACCCTAATTCACTTAAAATTTAAAGAATAATTAATGCAATTTAAGTTCCTCATTTTATGTCTCACAGTATGTGACCTCAGTGCTCAATATTCTTGCTCAGTGATCCCTCTCTAGGGTATCAGTCTTGCTGTGTCTCAGACATGCCATGGCAGCCTGACCTTGGTTCAGGCTGACTTCTAAGGAAGTTGCCAAGATATGGGAAAGACCCCAGAGAAAGTTCAAAGGACAGCCATGCATGCTCAGAAAGGTAAAACCACAAAAAAAGGTAGGACTGGTGAGATAGGATATGCTACCAGCTAAAGGATTCAAGAGGATTCAAGAGGAAAAACACCAACGTGGAATGGCATCAAAGCCCAAAGAAGGGGGCAAGACAGCAACTAGAAACAAGGCAGACTTGTTTAAAGGAGCAAAGAACGGTGACTCTCTTCCACCTCATTCACAGCTACCCACCCAGCAAAGACTCTTCAGATTCCTGTTGTAATCTAGCCAAGGAGCTCATTAAACCCTGTTCTTTTATGTTTGCTGACTAATAAACACTCAGTTTGCTGTCTTCAAATGCATGTCTCACTTTGTGTTCATACACAATAGAAGTAGCCCAAAGTGACCCACAGAGAGACGGTCACAATTGTAATGGTGAATGACTGCAACTACCTTAAACAGCCTAGTTTAAAGTAAGATTCTTTTTCTTACAATTTTCCACTAATATTCATTATCCCTTCTTCTTCTGTTACAGCAATAACATGAGCTTTAGTCAGAAAACCAGTTTTTAATACCATGTCAGAGTAAGCAACAGGAAATGGAATGGGTTGTGCCATCAGTCAAAAGGTTATCCAGCCTCCAAAAATACAGTACATCTACATTCTCCATTCCCCACTTCCCACCACCATTTTTACATACTTATTGTAATACTAATTGCCATGTAGGAATAATTATGGTGCAGATCAGAAGTGACCTAGTCTATGGCTTGCTTAAGCCTGTTACACTTACACATTATTAATGATGTTAAAATATTTCTGAGAAAAATTATGCCCAAGGGAGTATCTTCAATTTCACATTGCATGTAAATGCATGACCAGTTTTCAAGCACCACAATTAGGGAAATCTGCTAGAGCAAGAGCATTTTGGGAGATGTATTAATGCAATGATTAGAGAGTAAGAATAACATTTAAGAGGAAAGTTCAAACCATCTCCTTATTTCCAGATAACATGCAAGCCATTTTTCTCATAATTGTGAAATATTATTATTTACCAAAATGAAAAATGAAATATGAGGCAGAAAACTATTTTCTCTTTCGTACTGCTGAGAAATTATGCATCACATAGTTTTTGATTATTTTTATTATAAATAAAGTAAGCAAGATCAGTGCAATTTCAGAAGCTACAAATCTTACCACTATATTTTTATCTCACATTTCTAATTGTTTACATATTCTTACCACTTTTAAATAATACAAGAAGACAACAGCATACATCAACAAATACAACAGTGTAACCAAACCTATGGATGTTTATGACATTTAATTAATGGCTTCATGCATTCAGCAAAATAGAGCCACAAACACCACATCTCGCCTTCCCCATTCTCCTCTCCAACAACTGTTTGCAGTGATGCACATGGCCACGTCCTGCCATGTCCTGCCATCACGAAGCTGTGTCTGATTCTGACCCCACATGCCCACGGGCCCATGTCCTGTCCCAGCCTCAGCCTGTCCCCAGGGAGATGCCCGATGCTCATGGCTGGCTGCCTGCTCCTGACTGCCAGTCCCATGGGGTGTCTCTGTGGTCCCCAGGGAGTTTCCAGCCCTCATTGCACCCTGGCAGTTTTGAACCATGTTCTCAGGATCTCTGGTTTTTTTGCTACTCCCTGCCCCGTGTCTCCATGTACGCAGGTACCCATCATGTGCTGCCCCATTCCCAGATGCTGCTGCCTGAGGTGTGTGCACTTCTGCCAGTTTTACAGTTCATCAGCCTTCTCCTTCTCCAGCTTTAATTTTTGTCCCTTTTTCGCCTGCCTTCCTTCTCTATGACCTTCCTCCTTCTCTCTGCCTTCCTAAGTGATGCAACCTCCTTGCCTTGTAAGCCTTATCACCTTCACCATCATTAATTCCCTTAAATAGCCCGCAACCATATATGGAAATGGGACCAAGAAAAACTTGCCATGAGATGTTTATTTTATTTGTTCCCTTGAACAGGTTTGGTCCAATCTCACTCTGAAACACTTTCTTCTGTAATCAATATTTATTGCTGTTGATTTTTCTGCACTGCTCATACTCAGCCTTCCCACTGTGGCCTACAGTCAAACCTGAATCTCAAAAGGTATGGTTCTGGTTTGCCTTTAATAATCAGGTAAACAGCAGCTTGCATTTGTATCATATTTCATGAGAATTGCCTAGCTCTTTACTACTCCTTATGTTACATACTGACCTATGCATTAAACAACTTTCCTACTGAAATTAGACATCTGTGACACAATGTACATCAACATATTTTCAACATACACATATATATTCACATGTGATATAGCTTTATACAGGAAGGAAAGAGTGCTATCATCTTCAATAAATACTAATTTAGGGAACAGTATGATCAAAGTGGACTGTCTTCAGAAAGTTGAATTCACTGTACTTCTTAAGGGAATTATGAAAATCTGCAGTTACCAAAAAAGATCAGGTTTCACTACCCAGGTAATATCCACATGACTACACAAGTGCTTCTCACCACAGTTTGCTTCACGACATGCATTTAACAAATAAGTTTCAAAATGAGAAAAAAATTACGTAACATCCACATCAAGCTTCTGCTAACACAATTTGTCACAGGAAATCCACCATATTTTGGATGCCATAAGACAACAATTCAATTTTTATAGGATTTCACATTTCTGTTCCTAGAGACAATAGTAAAGCCAAGAACATCAAATGTTTCATTCACATGCTCATCTTTGAAAAAAAGGAAAACAAACACAAATGCCCTTTGAGAAAGGGCTCACACAACAGCAAATAGATGGTTTTACAGCTAAACCCATTTCTCTATCAGTATTTTTCTTCATCTTGTTTTTATTCATATTCCAAGTGGCAAAACAAGTTTAATTATTTATCACTGGGAAGCAACTACACAATCATCTGAAAACATGTAAAATTCAGTCATAAAAAGGGTTAAGTGTTTGAATAGTACTGATCTTCACGTTAATTGATCATGTTGATTTTCCTAATTAAAGAAGAAAAGCATTTTTAAAGAGTTTATTAGAATATACAAGTCCTAGTTTCACTTCTAGGATAGCATTTTTCTTCCTTTAATAAGGTCCATATTTATTTTTATTTAAAACCCATCTTTGTGATTCTTCACAGCAAAAATTCTTATCTGAAAGAGAAAGATTAAAATAAGTTTCTAGGCTTTAAATTATAAAGTTTTTCATTGCTTTTGCACTTATTGCTCTGTACTGCAGATGGTTTTGCATAAAATCCACTGACACAGGGAACTGCTGGAGAGCAAAGCAACCAAGTAGCCTCACCTACAGCTCAAGTCTCACAGGGGCTTCTTCCAAAATGTGCATGACTGCAGTTTATGGCTCCTTGTTTAATGCTATTTAATGTTTAATAATATGAAAGATGATCAAAGGAGCATAAGAAGTGGCTGTACAAATAACTAAACAAAAGAATAACACCAAAGACCTCTATATAACTGGTAAATGGCACTGGTAAAAGGAGAAGACCAGAATGAAGCAAAGGAAAACTTTGGTTTTGATCTTCCTAGAGCAGGAAAGTTGGACCAGATGACCCACTGTGGTCCCTTGCAACCTGATTAATTCTGTGATTCTCTGAAAGCCAGATGAATATATAGGAAGTAATATAAGATGTGCAAAGATCTAGGACTGGAAGAAGGTAAGCAGAAACTAGAAGAGGATGTTTGGAAATTCAATCTAATCAGGCACAACCACAAAACACAAAGAAAAACCTGCAATTACTATTTTATTACAGCTCTACTGCAAGGATGAAAGAAGGAAAATCCAACAGTCTGCCAACAGCACAGACTCATCTTGACATAGAAGAGAACTGCCCTCAGATTTCATAAAAGAGTCAGAGTGGAGAAATTACCAGCTTGGTCTTAAAAGATAATAAATGAAATATGGGTCAATGAAATTTTTTATCACCATTAAGAATGGTGAACAAAAACCACATGAATAAATAAAAAAAAAAATTATTGTCTCTCCCACTGTCTCTGCAGAGCTCTTTGCAACAAACTGCTCAGCCACTGCTCTCCCAGTTACCAGCTTGTTGCACAACTTGCTCAAAGTTTTAATTTTTTCTGGTTTGTGTTGTGTAAGGGAAGGTATGCAGGAACTGCAGGGCACAACAGCACCATAAAGGCACTGGCTATCTCATCCCTACCTTAGCATGACCCCAAAACAAAAATATGCAACTTCCAAACCTCCAAACCCCAGTAAGGTGAGAGTGTTTCTCAGTTCACTGCTACCTCTTTAAAAAACATAGGGCTACTTTAAACACATTAACTAGAAACACATTAACTAACTAACCCAAACCACAAGCAGCCAATTTTCAGATCACCTACTCACAAAACAGTCAGAGCACAGACTAACTCATATAATCTTTGTCATAATTTTTGCATGAACCAGCACACTTTAACAGTCAATTCAAAATTTTAACTATGTCTAAATATTTTAAGTAATTCCATTTGCTGTATCAAATAAGGTCCTTCAACAAGGTAAATGAGTATCTTAAGGTCATG